AAACAATATTACGCCTAACATTAGTAATATCTAATACAATAACTTGAAGAAAAAAAAATGTAATAAAATTCAAATAGTTTAATTGTTGTAGATCTTGAGAGTCTTCTTATGGTAAAAAAATCCTTGAAATATCCGTTATGCAATTTTTAGTTGAGTATCATATCTGGAAAATAAAAATTAAGAGCAGTATCAAAAAAGAATATACAATATGAAAATAATTGTAATGATAAAATACTTAAAGTAGGAAAATAGTAAAATAATTTAGAATAAAAATTAGCAAAGGTATTGAAAAGGGAAAAAAATTGCAACTGTTGCAAAAAGAAGTATTAATAGTAACAGTAGGCATTTCATTATCAAAATAATGTTTGATATCGAAATTGGCAAACTCAGAAGTATCGTAGAAACTTTGAGCTTTTAAAAGTTTAACAATAGTATTATGAAATTGACGATCATTCAGTTTACCTAATCCTACTTTGAAAAAACGATAATAATTTTAGCAAACTTTGACGAATTTGTAAAATTAAACTACTTGTCGTAAGGCCATAATATTACAGTAAGTTCTATAAGACCATGATGTATATCGCCAAAAAAAGTGCCATGACAATCGGCTTAAATTTTTTTTCAACAGTTAATTACAAGAAAACGGCTCGGTAGATTTTCACCTAAAATTAATCAGTATCATTCCCAACTAATATCTTTCGAACAGTTTTTGATTTGTTAAAATCGGTTCGGTAGGATGAGCTTAAATGTCGACGAAAATTTAACACTTTTTTTCAAAAGTTAATTACAAGAAAACGGCTCGGTAGATTTTCGCCTAAAATTAATCAGTATCATTCCCAACTAATATCTTTCGAACAGTTTTTGATTTTTTAAAATCGGTTCGGTAGGATGAGCTTAAATGTCGACGAAAATTTAACACTTTTTTTCAACAGTTAATTACAAGAAAACGGCTCGGTAGATTTTCGCCTAAAATTAATCAGTATCATTCCCAACTAATATCTTTCGAACAGTTTTTGATTTTTTAAAATCGGTTCGGTAGGATGAGCTTAAATGTCGACGAAAATTTAACACTTTTTTTCAACAGTTAATTACAAGAAAACGGCTCGGTAGATTTTCACCTAAAATTAATCAGTATCATTCCCAACTAATATCTTTCGAACAGTTTTTGATTTTTTAAAATCGGTTCGGTAGGATGAGCTTAAATGTGTACGAAAAGTTTTTTTGAATTACAAAGAAACGGCTTGTCAGATCGTTGCACAAAACTGACAAACGATAGTCCTCACCGAAATACATCAAATGGTTTTTAAATTTCTAAAATCGGTTCAGGCGTTTTTGAGAAAACGTCGATCAAAAGTCTAATTTTGACAAATGCCAAAAAGACCATACTGATTTTTGCAAACTTTGACGAATTTTTAAAGCTGAACCAGTTGTCGTAGGGCCGTAATATTTTAGTATGATCTAGAAGACTATGGTATCTATCGTCAAAAAAATAATCATAAAAATCGTCGAAATTTTTTTTTTTAAAACTTTATTACAAGAAAACGGCCCGGCCGATCTCTACCAAAAACTAATCAGCACGATTCCCAACCAATATCTTTCGAACGGTTTTTGAATTTTCAAAATCGATTCAGAATTGCGGGCTAAAACGTTGACGAAAAATTTTTCACTTTTCTGCCATTTATAAAGAAACGGCTTGGCCGATCGTCGCACAAAACTTACAAACAATAGTTCTCGTCGAGATACATCGAATGGCTTTTAAATTTTTGAAATCGACCCAGCCGTTTTCGAGAAAACGTCGATTTACGGCAAAAAATCTGTTCACATACACACACACACACACACACACACACACACACACACACACACACACACCACACACACATACTTTTTCCAAATTTGGTCTCATTCGATTCAGAATGGCTTGAAACGTCGAGAAAACATAAAATTAGCGAATCGGATTTTTTGATGAAAACATAAACTTCTCCTTCGGGAAGTTAATTAGTAACAGTAGGCATTTCATTATCAAAATAATGTTTGATATCGAAATTGGCAAACTCAGAAGTATCGTAGAAACTTTGAGCTTTTAAAAGTTTAACAATAGTATTATGAAATTGACGATCATTCAGTTTCCTAATATGTAGTGGGAGTAGATTAAAAAGCTGTACTCCTCTTCCGTCTATGGTATTAAAAGATGTTTCAAGTTTAAAAGTTGGTCCTTTTATAGTCAAATTTCTTGTTTTATAATAGGAATTTAACATGGAGGATAGGTTGAAGCGTTCAGGATTATTCTTTATGAATGACAACGTAATTAGCAAAAATATACAGGGAACAGTGAGAATGTTATATTGTCGGAAAATATTCCTACATGAGGATAAAGAACTGAGGGAAAAAATTATTCTTAATGCTCTTTTCTGTATTTTGAATATATCCTTTAAGGATGATGAGAATCCCCAGAATTGTATTCCATAAGCGAGATGCGAATAGAAATTAGAATAATAAATTGAAAGAAGGCAATTTAAACTAACTTTTGATTTAAGAATTCTCAACATGAAACAGGTTTTAGTTAACTTAGGTACAAGTATGGAATGAATATGATCGTCCCAGTTTAAGTTTTTTTGTAATTGGATGCCTAGAAATTTTGAGACTGAGGAAAATTCAAATTGAATGCTATTGATAGTTAAAGAATTGATCTCATGACTTATCCTATTTACTGTTCGAAAAGACATAATTTGGGTTTTGTCATTATTGAGCAAAAGATTATTAGAATTGAACCAATTCGAAATTGACTTCATAACTAGATTTAATTTATTATTTACTTCTTCTAAGGAATTGCTTAATTTAATCATACTAATCAGGAATATATCCATTACGATAAAAAACATGCAGGTACTTACATCCACAAACTCTTACTCAAGTTACCTCATGTAGTTATTAAATATAGGATGGTTTTGTACAATAAAACATTCACATGGGCCTTCAACATGTAGAATAGGGTTTCCTCACCGGCATCTGAAATTATAAAATAATATAGTAATAGATATAAAAATATTATTTTAATATAACTATAAAAAGAGGTAAATTAAGTACCCACGAAAGAAAAAATTTGGAATTGTAGCATAAGTTTTAGCCATAACCTATTCTTTGAAACGATATCCACAAACAACAAGTTGCCTACGCACTTATTAATCACAGATACGATGAACATTAGGTTTTAAATTAAATCAAAACAAATTTATAGCAATAAATATAACTATAAATATAAAAACGAACGTTATTAACGAATATTTCTCACACCAAATCAAATGAGTGTCCTTATGCAGTCACTACAATGTTCCTTTTTGGGGTGTGAAGTTTGCTGTATTATACGTCAGAAGTGTTTCACATTCGCTGCAGAGTTGAATGGGATTTTAGCGTTATTATGTTTTATTTTGTGTGGTTTTTGTGCTCGTGGCGTATGTGTTCGTCTATTATTTTCTGGTGTTTTTTGCTACCTCGTTTTTTAATTATTTTGTGCATTATTAATACGGTTTTAGTATAATTTTCTTGTGAATCGAGTGTTGCTCGTCATTATTATATTAACATTTATTTTTTTAATTACTAAGTTTATTATTTTGTTCATATTTTTATAGGTTAAGGTCTTTTTCTTTGTTTTTACGTGTTTTATAGGTTAGGGTTATTATATTACTAGTTATGTTCTAGCTATTTTACAATTTTTAGATCGCTTTAGAAGTAGGTATTCCTGCATTATTTTATTTTTAGACAAATATGTAAGGTACGTTTTAATCACTTAGGTTAGGTTGCATTTCAATTCATAGCTAGGTTACATTTAGGCTAGATTTCATTTCATTTAAGAATTTCATATTTATTTCGTTAGTTGATTCCTACGTTACTTTTAGCTCATATTATAGGTTTAATATTTTAGTTCATATTTTTTTTTATACATAAGTTATCTTTTAATCATAGCTTAAGTTAGTTTAAGTTTATACTATAGTTCAACCCCTTTCTTTCATATGTTCAATATGAAAAAGCAAAACCAATGTATCCATTGCTTTAAAACTTTTGCTTCGACTAGTTCTCTTTGCCGTCACAACAGGTTAGTACATCACATACAGCCTAAGGTGTACTTTCGAAATTTTGAATGTACATTTTGCCAAAAAATTTTGCATGCTCCTTCCTCATTACAAAGGCACATCAAAACTTTTCATTCCTCCGTTCCTGATACATCTCCTACAGACTCCAAACCCCAATGCACGTATTTTTATGATTCCCGAATTAATCCAGAAACATCCCTTGCGCTGCATTCTTATGCTCTACTCTCTTTATTAATTCCTTCCACTACTTCTTATTCATGTACCCTTACTGCTTCACAAACTTCTTACACAACTCTTCCTGCTTTGCCAAATCCTTCCACATCATTTCCTTCTTCTTCCATCCATATGCTCTTCCTGCTACATCAATCCCTACGACATCCTTCCATTCATATGCTCTTCCTGCTTCACCAATTCCTACAACATCCTTCCACTCGGATGCGCTTCCTGCTTCACCAATTCATATGACAACCGCTAATTCCAATACTGTTTCCTTTATTCGACAACCATCTTCCCCACTACTTTCCCAATCATCCAGATCGCTCACATTCTTTCCAGTGACCCCAACGGGACCCAGACCCCCAGATAATGCTTCGCTGTACTCAGAACATTTTACAGGTATTAAAATATAAGTATTATTTAAATATATTTAATATTACATCCACAAAGTTACCATAATTGTTTATTTATAGGTTCTCCAAGGGTTCTCAGAATTACTTGCCCCATTGAGGATTGCGGGAATGCTTACACACGGTACAGCGCACTACAAAAACATATTGAGTCTCATCATCACATCAATATTGAACACAAAGACAAACTGTTTTTTTCTATTAATGGTTTGTCAACTTTTAATTATGAAGATTTTCAACAAACATTTCTCTAATTTAATCTTTTGCTATAGATTTTTACAGCTGGAAAATTGAGATGGAACAGAACAGTATTACGACATATGTGAAGGACACTGCAGCATACATAACAAAAGACAATTGCTGCACCATTCAATATTATAATTGCCATCGATCACACAGTCACCAAACAAAGGAAACATGTTTGAGGGGTAGCAAAAAAATTGGGCATGCTTGTCCCTTACGAATTATGTGCAAGGTTGATTACTGGAAGACACATGTGGGACATGAAAATTTGATAAAATATGTGCGGCTGGATCAAAATTTGATCAGAAACATCGAGGGTATAATTCATTTATTTTCATAAATGCAATAATCACATTGTTGTTAGTTCTTTGTCATTTGTAATATATTTTTTCCAGATCAAATTAAAGCAGGCGTAGATGATGACTTTATTATAAAAAACATATGTTAAGATTGTTATAACAAAAAATTACTGAGAACTTCGATGATAACGAAGAAAGATTTATGGAATATAAAAAGGCGGGTGTTACCACCAAATGATACCTTTATAAATAAGAATGATTCAAGAGGTGTAGCCGATTCTTTGCATTTAATGCTGGAAATAATTTAATTATCTTCATAATTAAATATTATTGATGTTTGATTTATTTGCATAATTCATTTAAAGTTATGCCATTCATTCAAGTTATGGAAATGTGTTTCAAATTGTAAATATCTATACATTATATAGCCTTGCCAGTATCATAACACACTGCTTATGTGTGCATTTTTGTATCTAACGACAAATAATTTAATTATGTTAATTAAATGTGATTGGTATTTGCTTTATTTGCATAAATATATTTATTATACCATGCTTTAACAATATTATGGAAGTAGGTTTTAAATTGTAAATATATGTATATTATGTTCTATAATTTCAATAAATTTTTATTGTTATAAATGAATAGTTTTTCTTCTTTTATAAAAAACAGTATATTTTTGATAAAAAAAAACAATGCTAAAGCTTATGTTAATGCATTAATCTTTTATTTGTTGACCAAAATTAGGTTCAATTTTTCAATACCATACGTACTGTTAATTTTATAAAAAGGTTGGAAATAATTTCAAATGCCTGAACAAAACTTTGTGGCACCCCACACAGCACATGGTTGACATAGGGTCAACCTATGGTCGTCACAATGGGCTGTAGGGTTAACCTATGATCAACCCACTGGTACCATATATGAACATAGGTGAACCCATGGCGACACATATGTCAGAGCCCTGGTTTGACCCATGGTCAACCCGCCGGGTTCAATACGGGTATGCTATGGGGCTGGAATGGTATCGCGATGGGTCAAAATGGCGGTATATAGTGCAACAATTGTTGCATACTTTCCGTGCGTATTTGTATTAAATATAAATAATCCATATAGTTATAAATATCAAATGAGCTAAAACTGCAACTCCATAAGTAATATATTTATTAAAAATAATTTCATTTACATTACTAAAAAATAACTAAATTAAACTAACTTAACTAAATTTTTGGTGATTATTATCCTAAAACCTATTATTTTATTTTCTATGTATAGTATTATTATTATTTATATAATTTAAACTAATTATTCGCGTTGGGTTCACCACCTTCTAAAGCACTGAAAAGAACAAAATTTGAATTATAGTTTTACAGGTTTATTTTATCAAATAAAAAATGTTAGTTGACATTTTCGAAATATGTGAAATATATTTCAACTTACGGAAAATTGCAAATAAATCTGCCATGGGCATGATGGTATATGTATATTTAGCAGTATATGTAATCGATTTGTCCACTTTCATCCATTGGTAACATCATATTTAGCGATATCTCTGCTATTCTCACATCTGTCAATAGCTGCTCCACATCTAGCAGTTCTGCCTCTGTCCGAACAGGAAATTCATTATAAACTGCCAGTGTATAATCAGGCAAATCATCCTTCATATCACACTGGCATCACTGCTTATTAAGCCTATTCATTAAAACCTGGTGCCGTAATGAATCAGCCTTTATTGAATGTAAAATCTGAACAATATACAACCTTATACTGAGGTTTACCACAATATTCTATCAAATGTCCTTCGAAATGCATAGACACCTCACAAGCTCTAGGCATGGCTACAAGCCTTACATGTTTTCCCATAAAAAGTTCTTTTACCTCAAAGTATCTTTCATAACTTTGCTGCAATGGTTTCTCTGACTTCCGTATGTATTTTTTCAAGACCTGCATGTAATTCTCAAATTTAAAGGCACTAAATGAATCAAGTGTACCAAAACTTCTGGTGTCATTAGCTAAGTGTAAAATGTTATGTATATTATGACTTACATAATGATCTCCATATAAAACCTTAAATCTTACAACAAAATGATGAAGTAGTTGCTGAGCATAATCTAAAAGATCATTTAATAACGTGTTGCTACATAAAATTTTAATAGCAATATGTAAAGTAAGAAAAATTTTATAAAAGTCATTTGAAATATGACATGAGATTTCAAAACTACTGGACCACTATACAAAATAATTGTCTAAATTCTGTAGCTTTCCATGGTCTCACATATTTCAATGGTCGAGGCTTCCTAGCAAAGTCCTTGGATATATAAATCTTTAAGCTGCATAAAAAATTGGAAAAGTCATTAGTTTTAGCACATGGCAAACGAATTGGAAGCTCACCTTCAGTCCACAAAAGCATCAATCTCTTAACTGCTCCTAAACAAATCAAATTCATATAGTCAAGTGGTACATTAGTAACTAAACCAATGTACGGTATTTCAAGCAATCTCGTATAGCCATTGTAGTAGTCTTCATCTTCTAAGCTTCGAAAGTGTTCAGCTGTTCTTGCAGGTGATTGCATTTTTGGAAAGCAAATTCTGCAATTAATATTTGAACCACGAACAAGACATTTCGAGCAACTGAAGCAGCCTGTGTGTCCCTTTGTCTGCAATATAAATGATTTGGCAGGAGTATCACAAACAAAATATTTGATGCGTACCTTATATTGTTTCCCATTGTGATCAAAACCCTCAGTGCTTGATGAATGAATATATTCACCTGGACTTACAACTTTTGATACAGCAGTTCTTTTTGTTTTCAGAAGTGTTCTACTATCTGCTGGTAAATCACTGAAACAATCATGAAGTTTTAGCCCTTTAAGTAGTGCGAATACAGCATTATGAGGTATCTGACAATTCACAACCCAGTCTGCTAAAAATTGTCTTGCACCAAAAACTTCAGTTATATCTTCATTGGAACTATCCTCGCTATATGAAAGAGAAATATAATCATCAATCAACATCACCCTGTAACTCTGCCTGGCAAGAAGACGGTCCTTCAAAGTCATCTCCAATAGAAGCATTAGTCGCAGTTTCAATATTATCTATTGTAAAAGCACTAGTACTAGGCAATCCTTTACGCATTCAGAGTTCTGCAAAACACTTTCCGAACGTAATTTCTGCACTTCCCAAAAAAGTCTTCTATAAAAATGTCTATCTGACACAGTCGCAATGTGTTTGCGAATTTTTGTATCAGACATATTTATTTATAGAATTTTTTTTGACAAATTACAGAGTCAAACAACAAACAAATTACGAATATATTATATTCTAATATTGTTTAGAATTTTAGTAGCATAAGTATACGTATATAGTACTCAGGTTACACTTGTTCACCGTGTTTATCTATGACAGTCATGAGAACAGACAAAGAAATGCAAATGAAGCGGACGCCGAACAACATAAGTGCCGCCATCTGTGCGCTAGTTGCGCAAACGCCGCGCACGCGTATGCGCATGCGCGGTATATTTGAATACATTTTTCATTTGCCCATAACAACTCGGTGAGTAATGGGCCAGAGTAGGTCGACCATTGTTTGACCCGGCGGGTAACGTATGGGTCTAAACCCACTGCGTCATAAATTGGCCCATAATGGGCTTATAATAACCCGGTAGGCTGTAAATGGTACCAAACAGGTCGACCATTGTTTGACCCGTGCTGTATGGGACCTTACAGAACTCCACCTAATTAATTGAGAATTTAACAAATTTCAGCTATATAAATGCACGTCACAACTATTTCGACAGATTATTATTCACATTTTTATATGACAAGAACTTTTTCGGAGAAAACAGTTGTACGTTTATTTAACTTACTGAATAAAACTTCTTATACAAGTACTACATTTTACCACTTTCAGACTTAATATGATTATTACTATATACTATGACAGTACTAAATCAATCCTCTACGTAATATTATGATCGTAGAGAAAAATTAAATATATATAATATATTGATATACATTAATATATGAGAGCTGAAATTAAATTGTAACTGTCACATTGACGTCTATAAACTGTCATTATGTACTAGGGTTATTTGCACTTTTATATTGGTACGCCTGCTTTGTTTGTCACCTCTTCATGAAGTATATTGTCGTGTCAAAAAATGGCCGCCAGTGACTGCATGAGGAACCGTGTCCAAATCAATGCAAAAGTGAAATAAGTTGCTGTCAAAGTTCTTTGCTTTTGTCATGCACTAAATAAATAACCAAAATTATCAATCCTTCAAAGTACTAACCACAAGCTTGCAAATAATGTTATCGCCAATGTAGATCATTAATTATCCACTAAATCACTGAATAGAAACAAAATCGGACTTAAAATCAGAACCATATATAATACTCTTCTTTTATCTATGATCAGAACACACTTGTTGAACCTAATGCGAGATGCGAGTACCATCAACCATCAACGACATACGCACATAGATAACGAATGCTAATAATAGTAGAGCGAACAACAAACGTAAGGGTGTCGGCACACCTGACAATAACGAGAGAGCGCTGCGGCGCTACGACGGTAATCGACGAGATTAACAGTTCCGAAAAATTTTTATTACAAAATAGTTGACCCGGCAAACGTTGTTTTGCTAAGTATTTCTAAACAGTTTCTAGAGAATCAAGAAAATTAATGCTTTATTTTAAGTGTATAAGGATATGTAGTGTATAATCATAGATAAGGTGTATAATGAAAGTATACTTGTTCAATATTATATAATTTATATTAACATTATTCGTTTGCCTATATTTTGTTAATACAATCAAACTGGAAGTTTTATATACTTTCTAGGAAAAACATATACAACTATCGATCATTATCATTAACGAAGATGGAACTTTTGACTCCGAAATCATGGAAGAACTTGAGACAAATGTCGTTGAAGACGATAATGAAGACCAGTTTGAATTTTACCAGAAGCCAGAAGACGACGACGAAGAAGAAGAAGATGATTAAAATTATAAATTGTAGTTTGTGCACCCTTTATTCTTTAATAAATGTATTGAATGTTATTTTTAATAAAAAGATAAATTTATAATTTATTTGTTGTTTTTTATCATGTAAGAAGTTATTAATATTAATAAGGTTTAAATTCGAATATAATTCCTATATTTTCATTAACAATTCTGCAACTACATGGCCAGGTAAA